CGGTAGATCGCAAGAGGAATCAGTTGAGAGCAGTTGCTCGTTAGGTCATACCTTGGATTTTCTTCATAGTGGTGAGGGACTTCATATCCAGGATCACTAAGATCTTCTTTGGATGTGCATTTTACGTTGTCTGATCACTTCTTAGGGTTAAGGAGATGTGCTCAGCGTCTTCTTCGGGTTTCCATCCTGATTCATCTGCTAGGGCATTGTCGACCTTGACGCCATCTTCTTGACCCATATGTTGTGGTTGCTATTTGGTGGAGGTAGAATCGTTTTTTTGCACTTCAGCTGCTACTGTTGGGGCGAAAGACTTTTTCTTTGACTCCTTAATAACTTGGTGTACGTCTTAGGTGATGTGCCTTATTTCGTCAGGGATTGGTCCCCGCGTCTGCTTCTTGGCTTATTTTTGTCATTAAGTTGTTTATCGTTCACCTTCTTTTGAGTCGGCTTTGCATCTTTGTGCTGCTGCTCAGGCAGCTTTTGGGAGCGTTTGGCTTTATCCCAGATGGAGTGCTTTTTTTCCAAAGCATAAGAGTCTGCCAGGGTCAAGTTCTTGCCCATGATTAATTCTGCGAAAAATGGGTGATCTGTTGGGAGCCTCTTTCGGAAGGCTGAGCATGCAATGCTGTCATCGCATCCGACGATCTTTACCTTCTCCACCTTGAACTTCTTGATGTATGTGCGGAGTGACTCATTCGGGTCATTTGTCATGTTGAAGAGGTGGTCAGACTTTTTCTTGATTGAGCGGTATGACGAATATTCCTTAGTGAAAACCAAGGAAAATTTGCTGAAGTCTCGAATTGAGCATAGCGGCAGGGTGTGGAACCAGTCTTGCGCCTTGCCTTGGAGTGTGATGGTAAATATTTTGCATATGAGAACGCCATTGCTGCAGTAGAGGGTCATGATGCTTTGGTAGTGCATCAGGTGCCTGTCCGGATCTTCATCTCATTTGAACAAGATGAAATGTGATGGGCTGAACTTCCATTATGGCTCCGTCTGCTCGATCTCGTCTGTAAACGGTGACCTATTCATGTTGGCCACGTTTTTACGAAGGGTATCGTCAGTAGTATCAATGCGTTGGAATCCGCGTAGCTGCTCTGCTACTAGCCTTTGTGCTTTTTCCTCGATTTGTTCCTGGTGGGGGCAGTGGAGCCTCCAATTGCCTCTGTTGTTGACCTGTTGGTCCATGTTGCTCTTCGGTATGTCCTGCTCGTTTGTGTCAAAGTCGCGATGCATGTGGTTCGTTCTGCGCTGGTCGTCATCGCGCTTGGCGAGGGCTGCTAGTGGAACTTGAGCTTTATTGTTCTTGTGCTCTCCTTGGTTCGCCATGTGGCTGCCTACTCTGGTGCCTTGTAAGAGGATCTCCTTGTGGGCCTAGCCTTGTGTAGACGCTTCGCCTGGAATACCCTGAGTGCTTGTCAAAGTGTGGACCCAACCTCGAATGCACACTGATTCGTGAGCCAAGTTGGGAATGAATGATTCTTTGCCCATCTAGGAGAGAAAATAAGTTTTTCCGGGGGCCCAAATGAGAGTGCACATTACCCGAACACACGGTTTGTGGAGGGTTGAGCGGCTTTTTGAGGGGACGTCGCTGGAATGAGGCACATTTTTTTGCCCTCGTTCTGCTTTATAACACCTAGTCAAGGGCGCGCTGTGTTTCGATGCACTAAATGAGCTGGTTCACCAAGGTGGTCTGCTGCGTGATAGCGCTTGTCAAATTAGTGACCTGCTGGGGCAGGTGGTGCTCGCCATTTGGATTGGAAAAGTCTGGATAATGGGCGTCTTCATGTGTGGTGGAAGTGTAGTGGATTGCAGGTACAAAGCTTGAGCCCAAAACGGGCATTCCTGTAAAAAAGTGGGGTGAAAATAACCCTGAGTCGATCGAGGGACTGGTGGTTGAAATCTGGATCGCCGAAGGTGGCCTCGGATTCAGATTGGATTGGGCCACGGCTTGGGTGACCGGAACGGGTCGCAGAACAGCCTGGTTTAATGGTTGAGCCATGCATGTAGGTGTGCTGGACTCACCCGTGTGGCGGCATACTTTAGGCCTGCATTGCGTGTTAGGCCAACATTTGCCCTTCTCGAGCCTAGGTTGCATCTACAACAAGTAGAGCTCGGTGTTGGGCTTGAGCCATGGCGGCTTGGGCTGCCTGGCTGGCGGTTTGGGCCTCTTGGGCTAGACTTGCGGCTTAAAGGTCCTGGTCTTCCTGCCCAAGGTTTTGAAGGTTGGGCCGCTGCAAGGGCAGCGGGGCTACTGTTTGTGCCGCGGCTGCTGGGTCACGACAACGGTGGTAGTGCGGCTCCGCAGCAATGGGGCTCCTCCTGTTGTCGCGTTGATCTTTGAGGATCGTCGTCATGGGGCTATATCATCGTCTCCATTATCTGGTCCAAATCATTGTACGTACGGGGTTCCGTTCGTTGTGGTTTCTAAATTTCCTACCATTGTATCCTTTCTCCAAGGATTGATCAAGAAAATTTTCTAGGAAAAATTAATTGATACGACGTGTGAGAAATTCAACATAACAGAAAATTCAAGAAACAAATGCAAGAGGCTTCTTCAAGTATTTGAATTAGCTCTCAATGAAAGCACCAATTTGTCGATGCAAATTTCTACCGTATTCAATTTTGATGAAAATACACCTGTAAAACAATTAACACCTTTGATCAAGGACCAAAGCCTCATGCGCCCACGAGGTGGGGGGGAGGGTTAGGCCAATAGATCTCCGATGCCTAAGTTAGTTTCTCTGAGAAAGTAAAGTGTTTAGGGTTTTTTAGGGGTAGCAAAAGCCTTTGAAATTTGGTAGAATATGAGGTATATATAGGGGAGAGGGTCGGCCATAGTGTTAGGGTTTTACCTTACACATGGCGGCATCCTATTGGCCAAGGTTTTTTGAGAAATATTCTCAAGTTATTAGATAGGAAATAATATCTTGAGATAATGGAGTAATTATCCCTAATTGATTTAAATTGAGATTACTTACTTGATTCGAGTCAATCTTCAATTGGGAATGTATTAAATATAGGATTTGGGTAATTAATCATCTTCTTTAATGCTTTGACTTTTTCTTGCTAAGGGCAGGTGAGTTGTGGGCAGTCGTATTCAGTTGCTAGGACCTTTAGGGGTGTGAGCTGCGCGTGGGAGTATATGAGGAGTCTGCCCATTTAATGAGGGAAATCTTGTCTTTTTAAGCAAAAGTCTACGTGTCGTCTCTACAATTTTTGGGATTATTTTTGGCTCCGTAAATATTTCCAATTCATTCACTTTGCACCTCTAATAAACTCGCTTGTTTACCTATGGAAATATTCGCTTGTACACATTGTTCAATCATCGCCTTCTTTGCCTTCGAATCCAGGCGATGAGATCGAAATAAGTGTGAGACACTTGCCATAAGGTGGTTGTGCCCTTCATTGAAAATTGTTACGGCAAACTTATCACGACTAGTCACCTTATACAGCGTATGTTTTGCCTTGCAGTTACTTCTATTATCTCCCCTATTACCTTTCCATTTGATTTAGGATTAGTATCCACCCTCTTTTTGCCTTGTTTGCTACAAACAAATTCTTTCCTTACTAGACAATCACCATCACTGCAATTTTTATTACTATGTTCTCGAACCCTAAACCTGCTGCAAGTGCATAATTATCGTAGAAAATGAAGTTTGATTTGTGAATGTATCCTTCATCCGACAAATCAAACTCAATTTTCAAATTTGGTTTCAATTCATCCTCTAAATTTGGTACTATAAATTCATCTCTCCTTGCACCAAATTCATCTCCTTCATCTACATTCTTTCTTTCCTCTATACTTTCGTGTTTTTCTAACTCATCCATCATCGAATTACAATTCAATAGCTTGCAGCTTCAAATGTACACAAGTACAACACAAAACCAGTTTTACCCGTATATATCTAAAATCGAATTTCAGGATTTTAAACGATATCCAGTGGTAACCAAGCATTGTGGAATCAAGTTCCACAAATAAAAAGTATCTTACAAACGTACTCGAAATAGATTTTTAGGGAAAAAAAAAACTTGGACCAAAATCTCAAAAGGGGAACGAAAAAGTAGAGCCTGCAAAAATTTCGATCAAATGACTGAAGCAGCGGTCGCGATGGCGACAATGGTCTAACCGGCGTTTCTTAAGAGAATGTTTTCGTAGATGTGAGATTTGGACGAATTGACATTCAGCACTGGAATGGAGATCCGGATGTTGCGGATGAACCACCGTTGTGAACTCCAATCGAAATTGACCTTCAATCCACCTAAAATCGCCTCCTCATACCCTTCATCAGCTTTCCATTTCCGTCTATGAGGCGCGCAGATGCGCTTTGAAGCTACTCCCTCACAGACAAAAAATACCCAGTAAACCAAAAAAGGTATACAATCGGGGTCCTAAAGACCCGGTTCTACGCGTGAGCTTGCCCAATCTTTGCAGTCAAATCTTGACTCGCACGCAAAATCCGCACCTTAGACATGCCCATTTGCTGACAGTGCATTGGGGTATTGGTCGTTGCCCCATCACCACCATGAAAATACAAAGCCCAAATTTTTGGTTCTCCTCACGTTTGAAGGGTTACAGTTTTATACTTCTTTCTTTTTGTTTAAGGATAAGATCCCACTTTTATATGCCAATCAAATGACCTGATTCAATGTTCGTTGGTGCAGCCTAAATAATATATGGTTAGAGTCAGTGATGACAAACTTCTTTTGCCTCAAATATATTATATATCAAAATCTTTTCAAAGGCATGTAGCGTTGGGTGAGATAGAAATGAGTGATTTTCCTAAGTGATGTTATGGCTTGCGTCACTTTAGTTGCCAGGACCAAGAGGCAAGAGCTGAAAACGAAAACCCTAAAACCATGTTCTCCAAATTTTGCCTCAAAGTGGCCCTAGTTTTAGGACACGTGGTACATATAGTGACTGCTGAATACAACCTGTGCGCAAAAATTGAAATCTATAGAGAGAATGGCTCCCCACTTCCCTGAAGAGTTGCCTCTAAACCTAATCCTCAGTGGGTTTTACTATATATATTCTCTGCCCAAGAATATTGATGTTATTCTGAACACATCCTCAATACAGCTTAATTTCAGATTCTGACTTCTTCAAGTTTTGTAGTAAAGCCTTAAATTGTTATAGCATGGAAGGCAAAGTTTTCACAGAAGAGCAGGAAACACTGGTGGTGAAGTCATGGGGTGTGATGAAGCAGAATGCTGCTGAATTGGGCCTTAAGTTTTTCTTGAAGTAAGTCTATTTTACCTAACTTGCGAATTTAGCCAATACAAAGTTATATGATAGCACCAAGTTTTTCCTATTTGTCCTTTCTTTCATCTGCATTAGACTTTATACATGATGTGACAAGAAGGTTTTGAACTAATTGGGGCTTCACTTTGCAGGGTCTTTGAAATTGCACCATCAGCTCAGAAGCTGTTCTCTTTCTTGAAGGACTCTGATATTCCTCTTGAGAAGAACCCAAAGCTTTCCTATTTGTCCTTTCTTTCATCTGCATTAGACTTTATACATGATGTGACAAGAAGGTTTTGAACTAATTGGGGCTTCACTTTGCAGGGTCTTTGAAATTGCACCATCAGCTCAGAAGCTGTTCTCTTTCTTGAAGGACTCTGATATTCCTCTTGAGAAGAACCCAAAGCTCAAGTCTCATGCCATGTCTGTCTTTGTCATGGTAATTATAATTCAAGAATAATTAAGCTAGCGTGGTGCTAATACACATGAAGTGACTTCAATCATTAATCTTTAAATTTGTGTGACAGACTTATGAATCAGCCGTTCAACTGAGGAAAGCAGGCAAAGTTACAGTGAGAGAGTCAACCTTGAAAAGATTAGGTGGTGTCCACTTCAAGTCTGGAGTGGTAGATGAACATTATGAGGTATATTATATATGCTTCACCATAGAATAATAAAAAAAAAATTCCTTAAAAAATCATATATATAATAAAAATTGAATCAAATTGTCATACTGTAAGGGTTTTTTTAGCTCAAGTGGTTAAGAATACTGTTATTTACTCGTGCATGCAAGGTCTTTGTGTTGAACAATTTAATTTGATAGGTGGTCAAGTTCGCATTGTTGGAAACAATAAAGGAGGCAGTGCCAGAAATGTGGTCAGCAGAGATGAAGAATGCATGGGAAGAAGCTTACGATCAGTTGGTTGCTGCTATAAAATCGGAAATGAAGCCCTCCACTTAAATGAAGCCCTCCCCTTACGATCAGTGCTACAACTCAAGTTCTTTCTCTCATTTGTAATTTAATAAGATGGAAAGACTGTGCGCCTCTCTTTGTTTGGTTGCTTGTGCTTTTCTTTTGTTTAAGTAGCAATTCTAGTTTCTTTTTCCCCTTTTCCATAACATTTATGTATTTTTTTGTAAGATTATGAATTTTAAATTTGAGACAAACTTTAACCCGTTAGCCCAACCCAATATATTGTAGGACACAAAGCACAATTTGTAAGAGTCAATTTTTAACAATTTCCTTTTTTTTTTTTTTAAATTATAAAAATTATTATTTACACTTTAAAAAAATCACTCATAATCTGACTTTGTAAAAATACAAGGAAAACTTTGTATGTAGATGAATGCAAGATGAACTTTTTGAAGTGCTAATAGAAAAATATTAGGGAGATCATATTTTTGTGGACAAGGATTGTCTGCCCTGCCATTTTTCATGCCCTTCCATGCCCTCCTATTTTGTGTGGTCACGGTTAAGCCACGTTAACATTTTATATTATTATTTTTTATAAAGATAATAAGACAAAAATGAATAGTAATATAAAATGTTGACGTGGTTTAACCATGACCACACAAACAGAAGGGCATGGAAGGGCATGGAAAAGAAGAAGGCAGACAATCCTTGTCCTATTTTTGTAACAAACATGTGCTCTCTAATGTGGTAAGTGATGTATAGATGTCACGTCAATTAATTAACTTATCTCATTGAATGTTGATGTATATGCATGACTTGGTACATGTGATAGTACACCAATGTGGTATAAATATGTGGTCTCCTAACATTATTCGTGCTAATAACATATATATTTAGTTTTTGCGCTAGAGATAAAAAAAAAAAAGTAGACGAGAAAATAAGGGATGTAGAATAATGGAGGGATGTGATGAGAGTAAGGAGGGAGAAATGAAAGATATTATATGAAAATAAAAATTTAAAAGTGAAAACAATTTAAAATTGCTTTCTTCTTTTAATTGGTTTTTATTTTATTTTTGTGTCATTCTATACTTATTCTGTCCACCATCCTTCATTGGCAGCTTTGAGAAGGAGCTAACAATGCAATGGAATAGGGTCCCTAATGATGTAGGCCAAGATACAGGTCACTTCCAACAAAGAAAGAAAAAGAACAGAAAATATTTCGAATTCTAGAAAAGAAGAATTAAAATTGGAAAATGTTAGATTCATTCAATATGGCGACATAAAAGGTAGCAACAAATATTCTGGTGTTAGAATTAGGACCATGACGCAATCATAGAAGTGGTGTTCAATTCTCCTACAAAAGTGGCTTGAGCCATCTTTTGCAGAAATTCGTCAACAACAACTTACTAATAAATGGAGTTCTTTATTGTTTGTCTTTTGGCATTCCAAATAGTGCTTTAATGTTTGTAATTAAAATCGGACTTTTGGTTTTCCGTCTGATTAATGTAATTTAATTTCGTTTTAATTTCCTAAGCCTTTTGAGTTCTCCAAAGGGGTTGTAAATGGCTTATTTGAGCCATAGTTGTCTAAGGCATAGTTGTCATCCATTGTAATCATCTTTCATCTTTCAATCAATTAATCAAATTATCAATTAGACAATAACACTTTGGGAATTTTCTCAACTTTCTGGTGCACTCCAGACTTTGTTCTACAAGGGATTACGCTAGAAACCCTTTTTACTAGCTTCGTACTGCGTTAATTGGTATAAGAGCAGGGATTTGCCCTGTTCTAATGGCAAGCGATCGTGGGAGAAACAAACCTCTCTTTAACGTTGATTGTAGAGGAAGGCTATTTGTGGCGCACCAAAGATCTTCTATGGTGGTTGCAAAAAGTCTTTTGTTGATGGGGAATGCGCTAGAGGATTTGCCTTAAGCCAGACTCGTCAACTTGATATTCAGAAGATTCCTTGTTTTGAGGTTGGCAAATGTATTGAAGATTTTCTTGATTGGGTTGGAGTTGTAGAGAAATTCTTCCAAGAAACTACTATTCTGGATGAGAAGATAGTCAAAATAGCTGCTTTTCATTTAAAGGGAAATATTGCTTTTTGGTGGGATAGTTTGCAAAGGGCACAAAAGAAAGAAGGAAAGAATCATATCTAATCTTGGCGTATTTGGCGTAGGATGAAGAGAGTTATTGTTAAGGTATGGTTTCCGTTTGAATATAATTTGTATCTTTTAAACGTTATTTTCAAAGAAAAAGTAGTGAAGGATAATTTATTTGATGATCCCACATGCCAAGAAAAGATGGAAGAAGAAATTGAAGAAAAAGAAGTTGTTAATCCTATCAAGATCGATGACGACATGGTCATGCAAGTTGAAATTCCCCAAGAACACATCTATGAAAATCAAGGTCTTTTCAATATGAAAATATTATGATTGACATGGTTGTAGGAGACAAAGTTAACGTGGAATTAAATTGCAAGATTGGGGAAAGAAGTATATTTGGAGTACAAGAATATTCAACCAAGAAGGGGTTAGATTAAGAAGTTGCATATTTTAATCTTCTGTAATAGTTCATTTTTTATTCCAACTAAATAACAAGAAATTGGGTTCTTTGGATTGAAGAGTTTATTTACTCATCAAGATTTATATCACCCCTAGTTTTTCTCAAGATGAACTCGAGGGCGAGTTCTTATCAAGTGGACGAGTCTGATGTAGGACAAGATATGGATCACTTCCAATAAAGAAAGAAAAATAAAAAATAAAATGTTTCAAATTTTGGAAAAGAAGAATTAAAGTTGAAAAATGTTGGATTCATTCGATATGGTGACATAAAAGGCAGCAACAAATATTATGGTGTCAGAATGGGGACCGTGACGCGGTCATAGAAGTGGTGTTTAATTCTCCTACAAAAGTGGCTTGAGCCATCTTTTGCAGAAATTTGTCAATATCAGCAACTTACTAATAAATGGAGATATTTATTGTTTATCTTTTGGAGTACCAACAAACAGTGTTTTAATGTTTGTAATTAAAATCGGACTTTTGGTTTTCCGTCTAATTAATGTCATTTAATTCGTTTTAATTTCCTAAGCCTTTTGAGTTGTCCAAATGGGTTGTAAATGAGTTATTTAAGTCATGATTGTCATCCATTGTAATCATTTTTCATCTTTCAATAAATTAATCAAATTATCAATTAAACAACAACCCCTTGGGGTTTTTCTCAACTTTCTGGTGGACTCCATACATCTTTTGTAAATAATGTTAATAATGAAATTTTTTGTTGCAGTCATACTTAGAATATGAATGTGATTGTGTAAATCCTCGGAAATCTGGGAATGTATCTTATATTCCTATTAGGATTAGATTACCTATTAAATGTTGTAATCCTAAAGGGAAATGTTTTACCCTTCCTACTACTATAAATAAAGGCACAATGGGGTGGAATAACACACACCCACAATTACACATCTCTCTATTCTTCTCTCTATTGCCGCACCCCCTCTCTCTCTAAGGCCTCCATAATTGTTCAGTAAATTATGCCTACAACACGTTATCAGTACGCTCTTGACGATGCGCTGACAAGAGAGTTTGATCTTCAATCTGGGGAGTATTACATCTTTAATCATTTTTTCATGATTAATTTAATTATTTTATTGAATTGATCTACATGCTATTGATTCAATTTAATTTTTCTATGTTGAACGTGATACAACGAATTGGAGATGAAATTTTGGCTTTCGGAGAAGGATCTTCTACAAATTCAAAGGCTTATTCGTTTTCTGCTACTCAGATACGCTTAAAATAAAGGAAGATATTTGAAATGACCCATGAAGCATGAAAACATTCCCCATGATGCATGAACCCCCTACATTTATATTTACCTTCCAATATATATATTGTATATGTTTCATATATTTGTCAATATATATATTTGTTTCATGCATTACGCAATAATTGCTATGTGGAATTTGTGAGTCAAAGAATCGAAAGAAATTAGAAGCATATTAGGGTTTTCCTAAACCCTAAAGCATTTGAAAAAAAAAATGGGGGAATCAGGACATGGTGTGGCACCCCACCGCACCATCATTGTGCAAATAATCACCAGGCCTAGGCCTGGATTTTACCTTGGTAGGGCCTGCAGCCCTGAGCCTATGCACACTGGCCTTGGCCCGCAGCCATCCAACCTGCTCAATTGTCTGGCCTGTCCTCCCATACACACGCTGCAACCTTTTTGGTTGCTGGGTTTTGTTGCTCTAGCCCGCATACATATAACCAGCATATGCTGGGCTTGTCCCTGCGCCACCTATACCCAAGCCCGTGACCTGCAGTCACTATGGGGCTGCTTTCACGCAACCAGCCTTCGCTGGGATCCCCGTGACAACCCACAGGCCAGCTTGCGCTAGACCTGTCCGTGCATTCCCTTGTGGCCCAAAACACGACCCAGCTGCGGCTAGGGTATCCCATTCCTCACCCATGGCCTGCCACCACCAAAGGAACATTTGGGCCTCGCCTTATGCTTAAGGCACACAACCCGTGCCTCTTAACCCCCGACATTAAGCCCAATTATTTTTGGGGCTCTATTTTTGATCTAATAATATTATTTTAATATTATTTTGCTTCTACGATCGACCCCGAATGGTCCCGATCTATTGAATTAATTAAAAGTGACCTGCAGTCCATTAATCTGATAATGAATCCAAAATTATTGACCTGAAGATCACTTTTGGACATTAACGATTCAATAATTTATTTCTCTTCTTTGAACCATCACATACTTTCGTAGTAACGATGCTCTCACACTTGAGTTCCCGAAGACAACTCAAATCCACTACACTAAGTTAGTATATTGCATTCTGAGTTTCTTGCAGGAACCTCTCATTTATGAACTAAACGTTCATAAACTAAATTGCACCTGTAGTTTCAAATTTAGTGCCATACAACAATACACCCATGAAGACCCGACGTTTTTCATGAAAACCATGTCTTAGAACTCGAATGTTCTAACTTTGATGCTTATGGATGATTCATTCCCATAGCACTAATCACAATCTTGTTCCCTTAAATTCAGTGGATTGTCGAACCGTCATAAGTTTGATTTTCCTGATTTGGACGTTTTCTAATAGAAACCACTTTAGGTGGGGTACAAGACGTGAATCTCCACTTGACTATCAAGAAGCTGAGAAACCATTGATGCCAACAATGGCAAGGAAGAGCTGAATAAGGCTCTGCCATAATCTTCATTTGAAGACTTATGCTCAAAGCATTACA